AAATTGTTAGGTTTGAAGCTTAACGAGTTCATTTAAATTGCGAACGAGAACGAGGTTCGATGACCAATGACCAGTGAGCTAGCTAATGACATGTCCTAGCCCCGCTATCTAGAGAGAGAAGACCAGGCTTGAAATGAGAGTATATTCTGCAAAAACCAGAAAACCAGAAAACCTTTTTACAAGACAATTTTAAAACGTATATTTATATATATATATATTGCCATGGAGCTTTTAAACATTTAATCGATAGTTGGTCAATTGACTGCCATTGAAATATTTAAACATTTAATCGATAAATTCGTCAATCAACTATGTGCGTGGGTGGTAAGAAATGCCCACGTATACATCTGCATACGAGCTCCACAAGATAAAATTACAAACTATGAGTTCTTGGGGGAATCTATCGTCCACAACAATTTTCATTTATCATTATATGTTTTGATAACTTAGTTTCCAGTCGAACGCACTTTATGTAAATCTACCGTATAACTGACTGCGACAGTGCCTGAGCACGCCTCAGCGAACTTCCTGACTGATTGAGCATAACTGATTTGATGTGTATGAATGATGAGGTTCCTTAAAGATACCTTTCTGCAGTTCATTGATCTACATACTCTCCTTCACCGTCAGTGGAGCAACATCAGAAGATGCACTCCCATAGTAGCCGGTGACCAACGATCGGTTCATGTTGCCATTTGTTCCCTCAGGATCCTGAAGCCAATGCACACCATTGGTTTGGACTCAGAGTTTTCCAGCTCTTCTAAGTCGATCCCTTCATATCCATCAACCCAGTTAAAGAACTGGGCATTCTTCCTCTCAGTTTCTTAAACAACATCCGTGCCGCGAGAAGACAGCGAGTAGGACTTCCGTGGCATTGGCTGTATACATGTGGCCATGTGAGAGCATTTTAAGGCGGAGAGCTAACTATCATAACCCTCGACTGTACCAGAGCATTGTCTAGTACACACAAAATCACTCCCTCCCGGCATCAGTAAATCCAGGATGATAGTGTGGAACGGCAGTGATTTATCCACTACTCAATCTATGAATGATTTCAGTTTCACATTACTCTGTGTGACACTGTATGTGTCTTTGCTCATCGACAGCTTATGAACAATAAGGCACATCCCGTCTTGCTGTTTCTTTCCAGAACATCAAGTAACCTGACTCCAGGTTTATTTGAAGTCATTTTCAGTGATCGTTCGAAACCTAGTCTGGAAAAAGCCCCCTTAGCCTAAGAGGGACCTTGCATTCTTCGAATGTATTCAAAAAGGAGCGTAGACTAAGAAACAAGTCTTACTTAGCTCTCGTGGCGGTTTAGACAGACAACCTGTATAGTACTGTAGGGTAGAGGGATACGGTCATGGAGTATGATATCGTCCTCCACACCAATAGATCAATCATTCAACTTGGTAATAAACTATGTCCTAGAGGTTATCCATGTGAGATAAATCACGAAAGGACGTGCACAAGAATCTGTGTAAATTTTTTTAGATTGTTCAAATGGTTGTGGAAGGAATACAAGAAGCTTACGCTTAACGGGCTTCCGTGTCTAGTAGCAGTGGATCACCAATACTTCCAGGCAGGAACCTAGGTATATAAACGATAATAGAGGAAAAAAGAAATTGGTGAATCGTAGTTAAATACTATCCTAAGTCCTTAAGAATCGGTTAGGTTTTCTCTCAAAAGAATCCTGGGAAGTCGCTTGGATTATCTCAGCCAGCAGCGAATTCAAGCATTTGACCATTCATAAGAGTGATGGCTTCGTCTAAAATCCGTTCTGCTGTGTTGTGTCTGCATTTTCTGGGTGTAACCCCTTAGGTTAGCATTGGGACTAAGCTTAAGTAGGTGTCTAAGAGAATGTCCAGAAGTGTTAAGGATACTGTAAGCCATTAGAAGGTCATCTCTAAGACGCCTATACTCTAATGGGTAAAGGTTAAGCGATTGGAAGCGCTCTTCGTAAGGTTTAAATTTGAGTCCCCGAACTGATTTCGTGACTCGCCATTGAATACGCTCCAACATGTCTCAGATGGACTGCTTTACATTATGGAATGTTAACGGTAAGTCCATTGTCACCTGCCCAACTTTGAAATCGCGTCAGATCCTCCTGACGTGCCTGTAAATCGTCTTGGTTGCGTATCTCTCTTTAAAGTTTCACGTCATCAGTAAATGTAATAAGTCTGACGATACATATTGTAGAAGATCGTTTGTATAAATCAAGAAAAGAAGAAGTATTAGTACTGAACTCTGGAGGACTCGACCAGAACATTCCGTATCCTGAGAGAAAGTGAAGTCAACAATGACCTGAAAATGTAGATTTTTTGTATATGAAGTGAGCCAATCAAATAAAGATGATATGATACCTAATCTTTTGGGCTTATTAATAAGACATATATGATTGACCCTACCAAAAGCTTTTGGGAAGTCAAGGTAAATGACTCCAACCTTCCCCTTGCGATCAACGATGCTTGTCCATCTGTCCACCGCGGTCAGCAGGTTCGTCATACAGGAGTAACCCTTCCTGAAACCATGCTGTTGGGGTGAGAAGAAATTTAAGGACAGCAGATAGTCGTGTATACCATCGTATACCAGGGACTCCATGATCTTTGAAGGTATAGAGCTAAGAGCCATCGGTTGGTAACTTGAAGGTTCGCTGCGTCGACCTCCCTTGAAGATTGGTGTGATATGAGCCAGCTTTCAAATATCCGGTAGTTTTCCTTGACTTAGTGAGTGTGAGAACATCACGCTAAGCGGTGTTGCCATGATTGAAGTTGCTTCCCTCAGTATAGCATAGTGGACCATATCTGGGCCAGGAGAAGTGTCTTTTCTTAGATCCTGCAGTTTCCGGTACACCAAGTCAGAGCTCAGGTTCACTTCGGAAAGTTCTGTGCAGTTGCAGACGAAGCTTTCATCAATATAGTTAATGTGGGTCGGTTGAAATGTCCGAGAGTACTATTTAGCCAGAAGGTTAGTGGCGTCGCCGTCGTTATTGGTCGGGCTACTAGAATCTAGCAGTTGGGAAACTTCAGTTTCGGCTTGTAGAATAGAGGCTGCATAATGGAATAAGCTTTTCGGATTGTAGACAAATTTATTCGTAAGCGTTATCTAGTACTGAATCCTGTCTTCTCAACGTCTGTAGCGTTGGTGAGCGTTACACGAAGTAGCCTTGGGTGATTTCGATGCCTCGAGCCCTTTCCACGAGTGAGCCGTGTGAATGTTAAAGGTTCTATTCTGAGACGTTCAAGCTACTTCTTTAACTCTCCCCGGAGAATACTGTCATTTTCACCCTGCAAACTGTGAGGAAGGTCAGGGCTGTCTTTAAGGTTCATGATTATAAAATAATCATCACGAACCGGTATTGTTTTCCCAGGTTTTCCGGTGCGTTCATGTTGAGGACCCTGTTGTTTTAAGGTCGAAGCGTGTTTCCGATTCCAAGGCTCTTTGCTTACTGAATAGACATTCTTGGGGGGGGGGAACAAATTGTGCGGCCAAATCACCAGTTGATTCACATAAAATACTTGGGATGTTCAGTTTCTTAGGCTGTGACCAATGGTCCCTCTTAACTTTGCTAATGGGGCTCCAAACACCTACAGAGTTTTCGGGAACCACCGTTGCATTCAGGGATCCTGTGCTGGGAGAACGAAGTTTGCAGAGGTAGTCTATTACCATCGACGTTGTGATGGTGCTGAGTTTCAGCATGCTATCACTAGTGTGATTACATGCTCCAACGATAGTAGCGGTGTCGATTTCCCTCTTCTTGTTTTTGTTGCGCGTCTTTGTCTATCCGTTTTAGGACTGTCTTTTTTCAAGTTTGCAGACAAATTGTTACTCAGACCTATCAATGAGACAATGATGTTGCTCACCAGAATATCAGCATCCGTTTTGCAAATAACACATGACCACCTGTGATCCGACCTACTGAGTGCACGCTTTGTGGAACCAACCTTTGCAGTTGTCGCATTGCATGGCAGATGTAACAGCAAAACGGCACCAGGGTCGCTAACATCAATTTTTCATAACTATAATGACGCGAATTGTTTTAAAGATCCTATCAATAGCGTAAGGTGGAAGATATAGTGCACTAAAAACGCGTGAAAGTGATTAAAAACGGATGGTAAAAAAGATTAGGATAATCTGAAACTAGTCTTGATGTGGTAAAGCTGAAAAACCGAATAGTGAGCTGAGGCAAACCACAATTAACTGTTAATTAGGGTAAGACTTAAAGAGAAAAGTGAGTTACCGAGCGTATAGCTCAGGACAGATTCTTTGGATCAGAGATGATACTTTTGTTGAGTGAGAACACAGTAAAAGTTTGAGGAATGCAAATCACGTTAGGGTTCAAATACCCGTTCGTCCTTGTGGTTAAAATCAACAAGCTGTGGAATTACTATAGAAAGCGATGGTTCTTCCACCTTCCACCGGGCCTTTCAAAAGAGGGTTAGACCTTTACTTCAGTTCTGTATTTGTCGAGCGTGCCACTTCAGTCAGTACTCCAACCAGTAACCAATGCATCTACTCTTCACTCCGAGGGAGCATAGCGAGATTCATATCTATCTCTAGCCACAAACACTTTCCCACCACACAGAAGTCGATATCAATCGACAAATAATGCACTATTTCTGTCCAACAAATGCAGGAGTTTCAACTCGGTTGGTCAAAAAGATCGTCAGTATTGTTCCGCCTGCAAATCGTTGGTTGATGACAGCCATGACCGTCCGAATCATATTGTAGCAATTTTGAAACACTCAGTGTATGCTCTAAAATCGCTCACTTATCCTCGGCACGTCCACGATCCAGTGTGTAATGGCACAACTCCAACCAGTCTCCATGGAACATTGAACAACCGTTCAACACATATGATAGTGATAGACACAATCACAAGTATATTATTTTGTTGGGTAAAATATCCAGTAAAAGTCGCAACGAAAGTTTAGGGCACATATGGAGATATTTGTACTTTCCGATTTTTGTTTCAATCAATTTGCGGTGAGGTTATATCCGTTTGCCATACTGTTAGTTTGTACTGTTTGTTTCCGTTGTTGACAAGATGGGTAGGCGTAACTCTGAGAACAATGACCGTCGTACTGAACAATTCCGCAAGCTGTTCATTGGAGGCCTAACTCCTCTTACTACAGAAGCCAAACTGAAGGACTTTTACTCGCAGTGGGGCGAAATTGTAGATGTTGTGGTGATGAAAGATGGTCGTACAAACCGCTCCAGGGGCTTTGGTTTTATCACTTACAAGGAACCAGAAATGGTGGATGCCGCTCAAGCTAATAGACCGCATGAAATCGATGGTAAAACGGTTGAAGCCAAGAGAGCTATGCCTCGTGAAGATTCAAATAGTCCCGAGTCACACATGACTGTGACGAAGCTGTTTGTAGGTGGCTTGAAAAAAGATGTAACTCATGAAGAACTGCGCGAATATTTCAGCAAATATGGTAACATCACCGAGTGTGAAGTAGTTGCTTGGAAGGAGTCGGGCGAGTCACGCGGTTTCGGCTTCGTCACGTTCGATGATTACGACCCTGTTGATAAAGCTATACTGTATAAACCACACCATATCGGATCCAGTAGGGCGGACGTGAAGAAGGCGCTCAGTAAAGAGCAGATAAACACAATGAAAAAGAAACAAGAGTCTCGAAATGATTATAATAACAATTACGGTGGTGGTGGTGGCGGCTATGGACCGATGGGTGGAGGCTATGGCGGGTATGACGGAGGTTACGGGGGTTCCTATGGAGGTGAGTAGTTTACTTAGTGGTTCTATCGACTAGGTGGTCCTTATGGTGGATATGGCTCAAACGGTGGTGGTGGCGGCGGTGCCTACGGGGGTGGGAACTACGGAGGGGGTTGGGGTCCAAATCACATGAATGGAGATGGTCCTGGCTGGGGCCAGGGAGGAATGGGTGATGGATTTGGGCACTACGGAAACCAACAAAACTATGCCGGTGGTCCGATGCGTGGTGGTCCGCCAGGCGGTTACCAGAGGAATGCTCCCTATGGAGGTAAGTTTACACTGCGTCCAAACTAATCTGTCTTCTACATAGGGGGCTATGGCCGTCGTTAGTTTCAGTCAGGTAAGAATTTCTTAGTATGAGCATGTTTTCAACGTCTAATTGCTTCTTCATATCCGTTGCAGGGTTAGTATGGCCTCAACAGTTTGGTCTAGGCAGTTCTACTAGCAGAGGAGACAGAGTTGTCCTAGCGCCCTCAAGTTCTAGGTCAGCCAGCAGAAAGTCGACAGCCTGTCTATAGCTGAGGAGGCCAGGGATCCTATTATTCACTGTGTATATACTGTTAACTGTTAATTTTCACTGCATGTGCAATCGAGCGTTCTTTTTAACTGTCATGTCCGTTGTGAGTTAGCATCCAATCAAGAGTGACTTTCATCCTTAAGTGTAAAGTTTCGTATCATAAATGCATAAGCCCATGCAGCGTCATTTTTTAACCCAGCTTTGTCACTAGTATTAAAGGAAATAAAAGTGTTGAAGCCAGTTAGTCTTTTGAGTTATGAGTTTTGTAATTGGTAGTGATGAGGGAGATGGATGCTTGATGGGCGGGAGACGAGGTTGACTTGCTAGGTCTTCCAGCCCCTTGTGTTAAGCAGGCCTGTCACTATGTCAGGCACTTGAAAGTGAGCAGTTTTAAAATTCGTTGTAGAACCGTAAATTTGGGTCCAGAAAGGCATGTAGCAAGGTCGAAACCAGGGTATCCATTCACTTTGTTCACAATTTTTGAGTGGTTTTGCAGATCTCGTGGTGCCCCTTGGAGGATTGATACTCGTCCGTGGCGTGGGACGCAATGGACTCGGGAACTTGTATGATTGAACCATCGTTATGTATGCTGTGAAACATTGTCAAAAATAAATTTACGGATTAATTCCGCATGTACAACTATCTTCCTTTTTGATTACGGTTGTGGCTGGGTGAGTTACACGGGTTTGGGTGGACAAATGGGACTAGTCATTCCTTTCGCGCGACAATTCGTTCACTGATTCATCTCATACCGGCGTTCACGTCCAGTAGCGATAGGTCGCCGGTGTTCCCGTATAGAGACCTGTGTGTATATGGAACAAGCAGGAGCATAGAAGGTTGCTTGTCAACTAGTGGGCTGCTACTTAGGTCATTGAGGGATTGTTGAGTTCCCTCAGTCAGTCAGAAACAACGTGGAACTTCGTACGTACGTACGTACATCAGTTTGAGTTGTCATACCACATTAGCACAGAGATTCAGTTATCGATTCAAATCCCACTGTGGTAGAGGTAGTGAGAGTATAAGTAGTTCCCTCAGACCTCTTGAAAAGCTCCCGAGACCACATCGTGCTACAGGAGGTGACTGAGTTTGGAGGGTTGGGTGTATGCTTCTTATTGCCTTGTTTCGTCTACCTCTGCTATGTTACATTTCGTTCATCAGGCTGTTCCAACGAAACTGTGGAATGTTCCTTATATTGACTAGTTGGTCGCCGTGGAAATCATACGTTTTATGCCTAGCAATTCCCTCTCTGTTTGTTAGGTATCCGTTTTCGCCAGTGTTCAGATATGTGTCTTTATATGGTTCATAAGTTCAGGTTTTGATAAGTGCTCTGTTCACTATATATATAGACAACAGAGATATGCATATGACGGATGGGATCATGCACAGTACTCTCCATCGATGCACGGACAGTTAATTTGGTTGCTTAGATTGGTAAGGTTTATACTTTATATTGCTGATAGTGTCTCCTCATACTGCTTATACTTGTGTTAGATCGTATAGGTAATAGTTACAGCCTGGACCGTATGTATAAGTAACTTTCCCGCGAACTGCAGATTATCATGGGGAGTTTTGGACTTTCTCATGATGTATAAGTTTTGTCCTGTATGAAAACATATGAGGTTCACTTACTTACGCCTGTTACTCCCAATGGAGCATAGGCCGCCGACCAGCATTCTCCAACCCACTCTGTCCTGGGCCTTCTTTTCAAGTTCCATCCAATTCTTGTTCATTTTTCTCATATCTATCTCCATTTCCCTGCGTAATGTATTCTTTGGTCTTCCTCTCTTCCTTCGACCTTGAGGGTTCCATATGAGGGCTTGTCTTGTGCTAACGCAGTTCGGTGCTTTCCTCAATGTGTGTCCTATCCACTTCCAGCGCTTCTTCATGATTTCTTCCTCCACTGGGATCTGATTAGTTCTCTCCCACAGTAGGTTGTTGCTTATAGTGTCCGGCCAGCGGATCTGAAGTATTTTGCGTAGACAACTGTTAATAAATACCTGTATCTTTTGGATGATGGATTTCGTAGTTTTCCAGGTTTCCGCCCCATACAGTAGAACTGTCTTCACATTTGTATTGAAAATTCTGACTTTGGTGTTGGTTGCTAATTGTTTTGAGTCCCAGATATTCTTCAGTTGTAAATATGCTGCTCTTGCTTTGCCAATCCGTGCCTTCACATCTGCATCAGATCCACCGTGTTCATCGATGATACTGCCCAAATATGTAAAGGTTTGTACATCTTCCAAATCTTCTCCGTCAATTGTGATTGGATTGGTACATGCTGTGTTGTATCGAAGAATCTTGCTTTTCCCTTTGTGTATATTGAGACCTATTGCTGCTGAGGCTGCAGCTACACTGGTTGTCTTCTCCTGCATTTGTTGTTGCGTATGCGATAGAAGAGCCAGATCATCTGCGAAGTCTAGATCATCCAATTGCATCCTAGCTATCCACTGTATCCCGTGCTTCCCTTCAGATGTTGACGTCTTCATGATCCAGTCGATCACCAGGAGAAAGAGGAAGAGTGAGAGTAAGCAACCTTGCCTGACACCGGTCTTTACTTCGAACGACTTCGTGAACTGTCCTCCATGCACGATTTTGCAGTTTAATCCAACGTAAGAATTACGTATGATATTGACTATTTTGTGAGGCACACCGTAGTGTCGAAGAAGCTTCCATAGGATTGTTCTGTCCACGCTATCAAATGCTTTTTCTTAATCAATGAAGTTGATATAGAGTGATGAATTCCATTCAATTGATTGTTCCACAATGATCGTAGAGTTGCGATTTGGTCTGTGCACGATCTATCCTTACGGAATCCTGCCTGTTGGTCTCGAAGTTGTGCGTCTACGGAGTCCTTCATCCTGTTTAACAATACCCTGTTGAAGACTTTTCCTGGTATTGAAAGAAGAGTGATTCCCCTGTAGTTGTCACAGTTGCTGAGATCGCCTTTCTTTGGCATTTTGACTAGAAGTCCTTCTTTCCAGTCTTTTGGTACCTGTTCTTCATCCCAGATCTTTCTGAAGAGAGTTTGGAGCATTCTTGCAGTGCATCTGCTGTAATGCTGTCTAGTCCTGCTGCTTTGCCACTCTTGATTTGTCTGATAGCCATGCTGATTTCTTCAATTGTTGGTGCGCCAACATCAATTGGGAGGTCCGTGAGTGCTGCTTCGATGTTGGGTGGGTTCAGTGGGGCTGGTCGATTCAAGAGTTCTTTGAAGTGTTCTACCCACCTGTTTCGTTGTTCTTCAATGCTGGTGATTATCTTGCCTTCCCTGTTTTCACTGGTCGTTCTGGTTTACGGTGATTTCCAGAGAGTTTCTTTGTTGTGTTATACAGTTGTCTCATGTTTCCTTCTCTGGCAGCCTTTTTTGCCGTCAATGCCAAATCTTCCACATATTTACGTTTGTCAGTTCTGATGCTCCTCTTCACCTGCTTGTTTACTTCTGTGTATTCAGCCTGTGCCTTGACTTTTTCTGCTCTTGTTCGACTGGTATTGATTGCTGCTTTCTTGTTCCTCCTTTCTTGAATCTTATCTAGTGTATCGACCGTGATCCAATCCTTGTGATGGTGCTTCTTTTGACCCAGAACCTCATGACATGTTGGAGTGATTGCCTCTTTTATCTCTTTCCAGTTGCTCTCCATAGTAGTTCCTTCTCCATTGAGTAGATCATGAAAGGCATGGAACTTATTATTGAGGGTTATCTTGAATTCATTGAGTTTGTCATTATCCCGGAGAAGAGCCATATTAAATAAGGTTGCGTGTAAGTAGTTTATACAATTTCCCTGTAAACTGAAATGAATGTCAAACAATAGATACTTCTCCAAACTTTTTTCAAACGAAATGCCGTTCACTACTCCCATAATAGGACGAAATGGCCGTCCAGTGCTTCCAGGTTTTCAATGGTGGTCTAACATCAATCGGTTGACGATCTCAATCAGAAAATTAATAATCTCCACAACCGTATACCGTTAAACTATATGGTTGAAATGAAGGACCACTAACATTACATGTAGTCACAGGATGTAAAATCGAATATTTAACTTTTTTCTCAAGTCATATCTTCTTTATGATTCTAATTAACTTGTAGCACAGACTTATTATTACTTTTCATATAAAAAACTCCCTAGATTTGGATACATGCTACGATGAGACTCCTCAAAATATTTAGTGTAATAATAGTGGACAATTGTAGTCATTTCTTCATGTGTTGATTTGAAGTTATTTAGTTTATGTTTGTGTACGTGACTAATTTATAGTACATTTGACCATTAATTTATGTGTTCATGATATTCATGACGTTTTGTAATAATATCGATTGTCATGTTTCATCATAATATGATACAGTATTAGGAAATTTTGGTGAATAAAAAAGTATAGACATCTCACCGATGCGAGAGCAGTTTAAGACAAGGATATTTGGGATAATACTGAACTCCAGACAAGTAGCATTGTCGGTCTTTAGAGCACCAGTTAAATTGAAGGAGATTTCTTGATCATGATTAGAATTTTAGAGAATCTGGGTTCTCCAAGCTGAATGTTGTAATCGTAAAACTCATCATAACTCAGCTTGAGGATTAAACACTGTCATAAACTATTATCTATCAGTCTGTACTAAGAGCTTAAAAGAGCGATACAAACTAACGGATATATATATATATATATATATATATATATATATGCGTGTCTGTTTGAATCAGTTGACCTGTGTTAAGGTGAAATTAATCAGTTATGGGAAAAACGCATTTCATAAATAGTTAAGAATAATAGACAGAAAATCTGATGTCAACAACTACCAGATAATAATTTTATGTAATGGCTTTGTAAACAGAAATCAAATATTGATTCTGATTAAAACCATTTACCATGACATTTAGATATATCTCTACAGACGACAGTGTATATGGACAATATATCTTCTTAGTAAGAAATGTTTGATGCTTTTTATTAAAATCGGTTGTTATTTAGAGATTCACTGGTTAAAACCTTCTATAACTTGACTAAACAAGCTTTATTAGTGTTTTTTAGAATATAAGTTTAAATGAATTCATACAGTTTGATGAGATTAGCATAAGAATGGTGGATTAGAAAGAAATAAACACTTATTGTAATACGATTTTCGTTTTTGGTCACAGGTTTATCATTCATTGAATAAAGTATTTCAACCATACAATCTTATTTTCTTGATTGAGATCATGCATCGATTGATGTTAGAACACTATTAAAAACCCGGAAGCACTAGGCGGCCGTTTTGCCCTAATATGGGACTCATCAGCACTACACATCCACGATTCCACACGCGAGGCCCGAACACAGGACCTTCAGTCTCGCACGCGGACGATTAACCTCTAGACAACTGAGCCGGCACCTAGTGGTGTTAATGTCTAACTTTAAAATCCCGCGTGCGGGATCGTAGATGCGCACTGCTGAGGAGTCCCATACTCAGACGAAATGGTCGTCCAGTGCTTCCAGGTTTATAATGGTGGTCTAACATCGATCGATTTATGATCTCAATCACAAAATGTAATGATCTCTAAAACTCCATACTGATAATCATACAATCAATTGGATAGTTTATATTTAATCAAAATCTCTATTTCTCCAACATTGTTCATGAAGTCAGTAAATTAGTTGTTCTGCTAT